GTATCAGGATTCATGGAGGGGGAGGAAGTCATTTGGGAAAAAGACAAGCAGTTTATGTATAGACAATATACACCAAATATAATTTAAATATACTTTAAATATACACTAGAGTTTCAATTGTTTCTCAAAATCGATTTAAGAACTCAGATATACATAAAATATACATAAGATATACCCTCGAGATTCTCGGAATTCAAGCACTAACAGATCAAGACACACATATACATAAAATATACATAAAATATACTATCGGTACTGTTCAATTGTCTTTCGTTTCAGAACCCAGATTAGGAGCCGAAACTGTAGCCATGGCCCTTGTCTCTGCATCCGCAGGCTCACTCGACGGTGTCGGTTCTTTCCCTCCTCGACGGCGACGAGCGTATCTCAGTGGCGTCGCCTTGGTCGGCTGAGAATTGTGCAACGGGGAGAAGGAGATGGATTCCACCATCGAGAATCTACCTTCATCATCGGAAAATCGTCGCTCGTGTACCATCATCACGCTCGAGAAGTCGTCGGTGATAAAGACTTGGAGAAGTCGTGAATCAGCATGCTCGATTCTCTCCGGTAGCAAGTTGTCGAGGAGCCGCAAACAGAAAAAAGAAAAAAAAAAGAAAAAAAAAACTCTGGTCGTATAAACTTGTAGAAGAAGAAGAGAGAGAGGAGAGTTATTTGGAATGTGATAAAATTTTTACCTTTAATTACGCATAAAGAAAATTTCCCCAGATTTAATCTATAATGTGGTATTTGTGCAAATAAAATCAATAGATTATGTTAATATGTTAATATTTTTTAGGGGGTTATATTTATGTAATAAAAACATAAAGGGACCGTACCTGGTGCAAATTCCTCTATTATTGTGGTCAGTGTGTTTGACCACTAATTAAGGGTATATTAGTCATTACAATATTTTTTATCTCATCTATTGGGACCCACCCCAACTACAGTCCCTTAGGGTATATTTGGATACAAAAAAAAATTCAAAAAAAATCTAAGATTTTAACTCAATTATTTTTTTTAACTCAGCTTTAAGTTTAACTCAACTCCACTGTCATCAATATTATCAATATAATTAAATAATATCAATCAACAATTCGTACACACCGCATTAACATTAATTCACTATTCATCTACTCACATCATTTTATCTAACCATCACTCCAAATCATCTCTCTCCTATTTTTACATCAAATCAATTTTAATTATTTCATTTTAAACATTATTTCAATATACCCACTAACAATTAATCATACCAGATTTTTCAAAATTAATTAAACAAAATCCAAACACCAATAATTTCTATATCCAAACATGCCCTTATATCTCTCACACACAAATCACACACTCAACTCCACACACACACACACATGCGCGCGCGCACACGTACTCAGCACACACACTAAATTATAGTCGCCCGACACCTGCCTTTCTCTGCCTACGGCCACCCACCGCCAACCGCTATAGCAGGCGACCCCCGCATACACACCGTCTTCCTCTGCCCTAGCAGCTCCTTCCCCCTCCGGGACACGCTGGAATCAACCCAACACAAACCACTGGTCACCGCCATTAGCCCAAACTCTCCTGTCGATGTTGTAGCCAAACTACTGTCGTCCCCGCTACCACCCCGTCGAGCGCCATCAGCCATCCCAGCATCGCCACCACCATCACCTGCCCCTTTCTCAACCTCCCTCAGCCCACCTGTCGAGAGTCCCGATTGTACTGACGGCGAGGGATGCCGTTCCGAGGGAGTTGCAGATGAAGACGGTACAAAAGGTTTAAGTGTTGCAAAATAGTTGCAGACGAAGACGGGACGAAAATTGTAGAGGGACGCGACCTGAACGAGATGAGCTCGTCGGTGATTTGAACGGTAACGGGTAGCGGTAGCCGGAACTATTTTTGGGGCTGGCGAATTGAATCGTGATTTGGGTGAAATGTGAACTGAAATTGGTTAATTTCGATTTAAGTGAACTGGATTTGGCTGATTTGGGCGTGAATTGTTGGGTGATTTGGCCGGAAATTGGATTTGGCTGATTTGGGCATGAATCGTGATTTGGCTGATGTGGGTGAATAGTTGGGTGCTTTGACCAGAAATTGATTGTTGTGTGCGTTTGGTACGAATTGATTTAGGGGTTAGTGTATGGAAATTAGGTTAATGTTGAGGATTATTTTTGTAATTTTTTTAAAACTTTAATTATAACATAAATATATTAGTGGATAAATATTTGTACTAAATTATTAATAATTTTATGAATATAAAAACATTGTGAACGACTTTGATCGTAAATGTACAGTGTAGCATACTTTAATCGAACCGATAGTATTTTTATCGGAAACCAAATTAAAATCGAACACAAATTGTCGTTACTCGATCAGTTATTCGTTTAACCAAAATAATTGAATTAAATTATTATGTATATTTATAATATTGTAGTCAGTATTTTAAAATTGAAAGTAAAAATAGATAATTGTTCATAATATAAAATGTCGATTTAGTTTGGTCAATTTTGTTCGCTATGCTTAAAAAATATAAAAAAAATATTTTTAATATAGTTTATTTTTTATTTCGGTTATTTAAATAAAAAAAGATGACATCGTACAGAAATACCCGATATATATAAAAAAATTAATATTAATCGAACCAAAATATAAAATTCCGTACTGAATTTATGTTTGTTGTACAAATCAGAGACCTCAGAGGCAAGGATTCAACTCTCTACCTACATACTCTGGTGGCTCTGGAAGACGCGCAATTTGTGGATGTTTGAAAGGACTCGAAGGCCTGCTCATCTCATTGTCCAAGCAGCTTGGAAGGATTGGCATAGCTACAGGACAAGCAGATTATCCAGGCCTTGAGTAGCTAGATTCATTTTCAGTTGTATTGTTATGGTTCTGTTTCCATTTAGGTTCTTGCTCCTAGCTGTTAGGTTTCTAGCATTCAGATTATGTGGTTAAGGTGTCAGAAGTTCATCTGCCTTCACCCATATTTGCATTATTGTAGCTTAGTTGGGTTCTAGGCCACCAGTCTAGTGTGGTTCTCTCATTTCCCGGCTCTTTTGTTGTATTCATGTTGTTTCTTGTCTTATGTATCTGAACATTGTATATCATTTTGATTTGAATGAGTATTTCTATCGTTTGNGTACCGAATTTATGTTTGTTGTATCTCGTTCAATTTTGGTACAATCCAATAGACATTTATGTGCAATCCGTATAACCCTAATGTGAGCTCACAATACATAAAAAATATAGATAAAAGAAATATTAGTTTTCATAAAAAATATATATAAATAAAAAAATATCGGTAATATTTTTCATATATTTCGGCATGTTCGTTTATTTATTTTATTAAAAAAAAGCTAAATCCGACATTTAACCAACTAATATTATTCGATCGATTAGCATAATTACTGTAATTTCGGTACGTTCAGCGTGTTGTTTTTTAAGGTGCAACATGTTGTGTTATAAGGTGTGACGTATTGTTGTCTAAAGTGCAACTTATTGACATATAAAGTGCGGGATTTTTGGTACGTTAGCATAGTTGTGTTTTTTTACTATTTTTTTTAGTTCGTGGATAGATAATGTGATGGATATTAAAGTATTATGTAGATCCGTTTTTTAGATTCATATTGCCTAATATTTTGGCGGGAGCTGTTGACATAAGTTGTGTAGTGTGGTAATAAAGTGCAACATGTTGTTTTATAAAATGCGACGTGTTGTTTGATAAAGTGCAACATGTTGATATATAAAGTGCACTACTTTATATGATCGCAAATAAAATATTTGTTTTTTAAAACTAAATTGAGTAGATATAACTGTAGATCGAATCAAGCCAAATAATTGAAATAATTTATTATTACAAAGGTATATTTATTATATAATATTTTTTATATATAAATAAATAGTGCAATATGACAGCCACTAATGTGCAATATATTTATTACTAATGTGCACCTCAAGTGCAGATATTTTTTAATGATTCGTCTCAAACCAAACCAAACCAAACAAAATAAGGTAATTGATTTATAATATAAAAAATATATTTAATATTTTAATATTTTAGTTAATAAACTAAAATTTTAATAGTAACAACAAATAATCGAACCAAAATATAAAATTTGAATACACGGATTTTGCTTGGTCGATTTTTTGGTCAATATAGTGCAACTCGGTAGTCACTAATGTGCAATTGATCTAATACTAATGTGTACTCAAAATGACGCTATTTTTTTAATGATTTTTCCCAAACCAAACTAAAACCGAAATAATCAGTTTATTTGATTGGTTACCTAAGTTAACCTAAATATTGTAAATAGTTTATAATTTATATTACAAAAATATATTTAGTATTTTAATATTTTATATTATTTTTTGTTGTAAAGACCTAAAATGTATATATATATATATAAGTATTTGAACAAAGTAATATTTTTTATATTTTTCGATCGGTTTGATTATATTAGACAATAAAGTCGACATCGCACCGAGATAATCAAATATTTAAAAGTAAACACAAATAATCGAACCAAAATATTAAATTCAAACCCAAAACATTGTGCATCTGCTATAGTGCAATCTTGTGGAATTCGTCTAACATTAATGTGCACTCGAAGTGCACCTATTTATATAAAAATATATTTACTATTGTAATACTTTTATTTAATACTTTATATTATTTGTGGTTGAAAAAAATATGATATATACATATGTATAAAAGTATAAAAAATATATATAAAAATAATATTGTTTATATATTTTATATAAATTACAAATTTTGCCCATGGGCCTACTTGAAGTATACCAAAACTCTTGAAATTTTAGTTAAATTATAGATTTGACCCTAAGAACTAAGTTGTAGTTTAGATGAAATTATTATCCAAATCTAAATTAAATTCCCAAATACAAATCGACTGCTCTGTCTCCTTCCCAAAACCTTCGCCAGCCACCGAGCATCCGCCGACCTTCTCAGCCAAGCGAAGACCTCACCGGTCGGCCACATCCTCACGAGTTTACTTTAGATTTTTGTGTTCATCAATTTTATGTTTGATTTTGTATTCATCGAAGTTGGCCGGTAAATTGTTGTGCTTGCCGGAATTATCCGATCTCATCGGCGTCGGTGAGTTTCTTCCTGGGCGGCCGAATTTCGGCCTCCAAATGCTCGAGGCTGGATGTGCTCGGCGGTGATTTGGATTGCAGCTGGAATTTTTGTTTTTGACGATTGCCTGACCGGAGGTAGAGGGCGGAGGGTGGCGTTGATTGGAGCAGTAATCGGAGTGTTGGAGGCGGCGTACGGAGGTGCAGCGGTGGTGGTCTGACGGCGGTGCAATGGCGATTCCTACGGCGAATGGCGAGAACCGGTGATGCATGTGTTCTATTGTGTGTATCGTGAAGTGTGTGTGGGTGTGTGTGTGTGTGTGAACTGTGTTTGTGCGTGTCAATGTTGAGGAAGGCGATGGCAGGCTGAAGCGTGGCATCGACAGTGGCTGGTGGCGAGGGACCGACGGGGGTGTGTGTGTGCGAGCCGAAAATGTGTGTATTGTGTAGGGGTGTATGTTAGCGTGTGTATGAGTAGTGTTTGTGCGTAGAAGACAATGTGAATGAGATATGGGGCCCACTTGACACATGTCAATGGTAAATTGTTTATTATACCCTTAATGAGTGTAAAAAACTGAGTTTATTATGACCATGTGGTCTAAATTTATTCTTATTTCTTAACCATTCTCACTGGAGAGAGACCTTATAAATTAAATATATAAATAACATTAATCATGATTTACTCATTTATTTATAAATTAAACCAGGATGGACACAGTTCGACCGAATGGACCGAGAACCGGTTTATAACTAATCTAGTTCGCTTGATTAAAATATTTACCATCGAATCTGTCAACACCAGTCGGTTGGACTGGCGAGATCGATACGATTTTCTAAATAAATTTTGTTACATTTAAAATTATTTTAAATAAAATTACATATTTAAATACAATAGAGATTTCAAAATTATTTATCAATTAGTTTAAACATTTTAATTTATAAATTGTTTAGATATTTAAGTAACATATTTTATTTAAATTTATGATAAAAAGTACTATATATATTTATATTAAAATGTTTATAAATTAAAACCTGAACAAAACACAAATTATTTAGTAATAACTTCATTGTTTCGATGATGGTCCAATTCTGAAAATCTTATATTTACTTTACATTAATAAAAATTATAATAAATGTTATTTTATTTACATAAATATTAATAAAATGATATATAAATATTCATGAATCATTAAACATGTTTGTTTGTCTCATTTTTGTCGCGTTTTTCGTATTTTTTTTCATCTTTCTTTTTCCCCCATTTTAGGTCGTTTCTTTAGTTTTTAGTCCGTTTCATGTTTTATTATGTGTTTTCCTTCATCTTGAGTCTTTAGGTGTTTTTCGTTTGTTTTTCCGGTTTTCTTTTGTGTTTTGTCGTTTTTGGTGTGTAGGTCAGGAGCTTCGGGCGATTTTTCTCTTCAGGAAAAGTAGGTTTTGAGAGCATAACTGGATAGATGGGTTCGTTGGTGACACATAGCAAAAAACGGAACTCAATTTCAAGTTCGGACGAGCCCAAACGAGCTCGAAACGTAAAGCAACGCGTAGCTGCCCAGTTTTCTTCACCGCGGGCAGCGGAGCCCTTCTGCAGCTAAAAATTCGCGGCCGCGGAGGTCACGATTCAACATTTAAAAACCTGTTTATGCGAATTTTAACGGGGGGAGAAAGGGGAGCGATTGGGTGCGAACCCTAGCTCGAAAAACCTCTTCTCCACTCTCCATCTTCTTCTTCTTCTTCTTCTCCATCTTTCCTCTCCATTTCTTTCTCATTTTCTTTTTCTTTACACTTTAGGAATTAAGCTTGTATTTTGGATTCAACACTTGGATTGAGATTAATTGTAAGTTTTTCTTCTTGTTTAATTCATGAAAATGGTTGAATTGGGAGACATGATTGATTGTGTTGAATTTATTTTGTGTGGGTAATTCCTATTGCTAGGGATAGGGGATGATTGTTCTCGCTTAACGTGTATTTGTCGGGCTTGATTCGTTTGTTCTTGTGCGAGTAAATTTAATTAGGAATTGATGAATTCTTGCTTGATGATTTGATATAACCTAAGAGTGACACTTAGGTTAATTTATTGATATAATCGAAGAGTGACACTTCGATGTGCTTGAATATTGATTTTTTGAGTTAGGGTTTATTGATCCTACATGATTAGTTGATTAAACACCTTCTAATTGAATTAGCGACTTTTAGAACCGAAAGGGAAGAAGTCGTAGACCTAGGCTCGCATGAGATAGATGATTTTGTAACTGAATAATCTATGGATTTTGGATTGAAATACATACTTGTTGGTGTCTTGTCCCTTGTTACGAAAAGTTATTGGGATTGGATACTTGGCCGGTATTGTATGCTCAAACTTGCTCGTCTATGTTCAATTCCTTGTTACAAAGATTTATTGGGAGTGAACCGCTAGATGTGTAGGCGAGAGTGTCAATTCCGAACCGAACGATCAATTGCCTGGCTTTACGTTGCGAACTTGAATAAATTATCCCCGATTCCCTAGTTTCTTTATTATTATTTAGTTGGTATTTTAGTATTTATGCTTTTATGCTATTTCTTAGTTGATAGTTAATTCCTCCCAAATCTGATTAGAGTGTTTAGGATTTATTTTTCTTTTTTGTGTTATCAATACCAATTCTAAATTCCGAACCGCCTTCCTCGAGAGATCGACCAGGGAAACGAATCCTTGATTCGGTACTCGGTAAAAAAAAAATAATTTGTACACAACAAATTTGGTTATTCGGATATTTGCATGCTTATATGGTGGGCCGGTCTAGTTTTAGGTTTTTGTTTTGTTGAGCATGTGGTATTGGTGAATAGTAGGACTTGTTGATGAATGTTTTATGAAATTGGGAAGTTGTGATGACGGACGTGTGGTCATTGTCTCGGTATATGCTTGATTGCTTTGAGTGACATATATTTGCCTTGTGAGGTTTTGATCCTTACTCTTCTTTCTTGTGAGATATTGGTCATATTCTTGAATGATTAGAACTTGTCTTGAGTTTATTTGAAAGGAATCGATTAGAGTTTGAAATTGCGAAAGTGATTGAGGCGTTTTGTTTGATTAGCTCTCTTTAGCCTTGTTCTTTGATCCTAAACGTTATTATCCCTAGTAGCCCGTTTGAGCCTTGAGCCTTTTCTTGTCAGCCATGCATATAATGTATTTGTTGACTGATTTTGTGATGATTGGTGAAAATGGTGTCGTTGTTGAATGAGGTGAATTGGAGTTGGATTTCTATTGCTTGACCTATATTAAAAAAGTAATAATAATAAATAAATAAATAAAAAACAAACTTGAGAGTTCACAGGACGAATCGAATGGATTCTGCTCCTCTTACTAGTCGATTCATTTTGACAGGTAATGAGCATTGGAAAACTACTGTAGGAGACTTGGATGACCTCCAATGTTCACACCTACAGAATGTTGTCCTTTTGATTCAATCTTGTTGGGAAAAAGTTACTCTCCTAATAAAAAAAGAAAAAGAAGAAAAAAATGAGGTTAAGTGACGATGTTGCAACTTGTTCTGAGCATCTATGTGTTGTTTGTGGAATGTTGGTTGGGTAGTAAGTGTTTTGTCTTGTTGATTCCGGATGAGTAGTGGAGTGCTTGAGTATACTCGAGAATCTTGATTGTCTATTTTGAGCTTCTTATCCTTATATATTCATACCTTTACCTAAGCCACATTACGACCCGCGAAGTCCTCTTGATTCGCAAGTTTTGAACTTTGATTATTTTCGAGTAATGTAGACGATTGGCAAGTGTTTGTCCCATTTTTGTTGCATTTTTCGTGTTGTTTTTTCCTTTCTTTTTCCCACATATTAGGTCTATTCCTTGATTTTTAGGTTGTTTTATAGTTTATTGTGTGTTTTTCTTTATTTTGGTTTTTCTTGTGCTTTCCGTTTGTTTTTCCGGTTTTTCTTTGTTTGCGGTGTGCAGGTCGAAAGCTTCGGGAGAATCTATTTTCCATGATAAGTGGGCTAGGTGAACATCATTTGATAGAGCGATTTGTTGGCGACAAGCAGGATAAAACGGAATCGAATTCCGAGTCCAAACGAGTCCGGACGGGCCCGATATGTAAAGTCGCGCACGGAAGCCGTCACCTTCAAGTTGAAATCTTTGGGAGTACAGGTTTTCAAGAATATGTTGGGTTTGAAAGCACCATTGCGTAGAGGGCTTCATTGGCAACGCATAGGAAAAAACGGAACTCAATTCCGAGTTCGGACGAGCCCAAACGAGCCCGAGACGTGAAGAAGTGCGAGCTGCCCAGGCCCCGCGCGCGCCCCGCGCCGCGACACCTGCCCTCGCCGCGCCGCGGCAGCACCGCGACCCGAACTGCAGCTCCCAGCCTTCAGCGCGCGCCCGTGAAGACCTGCCGCGCCGCGGAGCACCCATCCACCGCGCCGCGAAGCCCTGCCGCGCCGCGAAGCACCCTTCCACCGCGCCGTGTCGCGCCTTCCTCACGCCGTGGCCAACTTTTCTTATAAATATGTGTACGGGAACTCGTTTTATTCATTCTCCCCCTCCTGGGGACGAACCCTAGGCCCGTAAAAACACCACAGAACTCTTTTCTTCTCCTCTCCTTCTTCTTCTTCGTTCTTTCTCCTCTCTTCATCTTTCTTTTCCGTTTTTCTTCTTCTTCTTCATAGTACTTAGGAATTAAGCTTGTAATTCAGATTCAACACTTGGGATTGCGATATATTGTAAGTTCTTCTCTTTATTTTTAATTCATGAAAATGATTAAATTGAGAGAGACGATGGATTGTGTTGAATTGATTTTACTTAGCTAATTCCTCTTGCTAGGGATAGGGGATAATTGTTCATGTTTCACGTGTATTTGTCGGGCTAAAATTGTTCATGCTTATGTGAGTTGATTTGATTAGGGATTGATGAAATTATGCTTGATAGTTTGATATAATCGAAGGGTGACACTTCGATCTTGCAATATGTAACGATTGAATATTGATTTGTCGAGCTAAGATTTGTTGATTCCATATGATTAGTTGATTAAACACCTTCTAATTAAATTAGCGACCTCTTGAACCGAAAGGGGAGAAGTCGTAGACCTAGGCTCGCATGAGGTAGATAATTTCGTAACTGAATAATCTATGGGTTGAGATTGAAATACGTGCTTGTCAATGACCAGTCCCTTGTTACGAAAAGTTATTGGGATTGGGATAATTGGCATGTGTTGTATGCTCGAGTTTGTTCGTCTATGTTCAATCCTTTGTTACGAAAAGTTATTGGGAGCGAACCGCTAGATGTTTAAGTGAGAGT